GGGGGCCTGGTTTTGGGTCTGACGATTTGGCCTCATTCGCACCTCACGGTCACTATTATACCCGAGTAAGCCCACCCCTTCTGGGTTAAGTGGAAAAGAGTTCTAATTGGACTGTTGAGTACTCACAGCTCGTTTGACCACGCACTGGCGATGATCTTTTCATCTGACATTTACTGATTTTGAAACTCAAGGCAAGGTCTGTTTCTTGAGGCAAAAAAGTGAAAGCGACAAACTATCTATTTCATAACTCCCTAAACCTAAAAAGCCAAAACGTTACGCGATTAAAACGTTGCGTGTTCAAACCAGTATCACGTCCCGTCTTTCTGTCTAAAATACTCTCTTTATCCATAAATTAAAAAAGGCCGTTTCTCCGCCGATATCTACGACTAACAAAACAGAATATTTATACTTGATAAGAATTTTTCTTTTTTCATATAAAATTAATTAAAATCCACAACTAGTTGGAAAAAAAAATGCAGATGTTTTTTTTCCAAGTCCGTCGCCATGACTACGTAGGATTCAGAGGTAACCAGCCCCGACGATTCACTGAAAGTACCAGACTCCACGCGAATATATACGCCCCTCCGTGGACGATAAGTAATGGGACCTAGAACAGCATACTTTGCCGCCGTCGACCCGGACCTGCGGCAGGAAAACACAATTGTTAGGCCATGCAACTTAATTTGTTTTATTATGGTTGACGGAGTGGAATTCCATTTAGTCTGACAATGAGTAAAGATTACAACTTTGCTAAGGTATAGATCAAACCCTTAGTGTGTGATCATTCAAATGAAAGCTATTGAGCAGTACTTCCATGTGGTACTGTTTATTATACAGTAAAAGGTGGTTCTAACTTTTAAGTCTGTGGATGAAACCCTAGTGTGTGACCATTCAAATGAAAGCTATTGAGCAGTACTTTCATATGGTATTGAGGCCATTTCAACGTTTCAACCTGAACTGTGNTAACTTTTAAGTCTGTGGATGAAACCCTAGTGTGTGACCATTCAAATGAAAGCTATTGAGCAGTACTTTCATATGGTATTGAGGCCATTTCAACGTTTCAACCTGAACTGTGACAAGTCAATGAAAGCTATCTGCTCCATTCCTGTCAGCTCTTACCTAGACCCGTTCTCCCAACAGGTCTGTATCCAGGATCCTTGGTCAATCGTATCTCTTCTATGTTAAAGATCGACTCGACTGAAAGAAAACCAACATAATACCAATTGTTAGCTCGTATTTTTGTAGCCAGTAATGTTGAGCCCCAAAAAACAAAAGGTTAAACCAACTGGGCAGAGGGAGAAACAAGAGTCTACAAAGCCCTTTGTACGTAATAAGTGCCTNTCACCCCATAAAAACACAGATATGTAAAGAAATGTAGAACGAGCATTCAAAAGCTGCACACAGATTCGCTATCCTGAGACGAACACTAAATTCATCAGCTCACTTACTATTCTTTAATTCTCGAATGTTTTTGCCCAGACAGGAGAAGTAATCGTGCCTCATAGCATCCGAAGCTGATATTCTGTTCTTTACAACAAACTAGAACGAAAAGAAGTTCACACGAGTAAGTATTAAGACGGAAACCCACAGTCCCGCAAAGAACACTCGGCAAATCCTCGAATTAACGCCCGGGCGCTTATTTCAAATTTAGGAGAAGACAAGGGGCGCTTATTCGAGGGAGGCGCTTAATTGAAGAGGGACGTTTATTAAATTTTTCCATCGTGGCCAATGATTGTATAAAAAAAAAATAAAAAAAAAACACTGGATGAGAGTGATCAAACACATCCAATACTATTCATCTTTTGTTCTCAGTACTCGTTCAGTCATAAAACGGGGTAGGGGGGGACGCTTACTCGAGAGGGGGGGGGCTTATTTCAAACTTTGGCCGATAGGAGGGGCGCTCATTCGTGGGGAGGCGCTAATTAGAGGATTTACGGTATTATCTCTAGGATTCGCTGTAACCACATTCGGTGAACGCCTGATCAACCAAATCGTGACAGGATCAAGTTGCTATGAAAGAAATAGAATTAATTCCTCCGTCCACTCACCTCAACAAATCTTTCAAGCAAGTCTAGCCCTGAATTATCGAGTCTAAAAAAGATGAAAGAATATCAAGCAATAAGAAGTTCTATCCCTTTAGTTTGTCAAAATATTCTACAGTACATGTAAGTGCTGTAGTTGATCTCCGGGAAGACAAACCACCGCCGGCACAAAGCGCGGGAAAACGTGTAGCCTGAGAGAAGCGCGAGAAAACATATAGTGTGAAGTGACGATTCAAGGGTGCAGCCGGTGGCAAAAGCTGGAAAAAGCGCGGGAAAAGTCACGTGAACCACATTAGACTTATTTTGATCTTTGCTGTGATTGGTTAGAGGACGCTACACAGGTTTTTATTAACCAGTCACAACGCTGGTCAAAGGTGGTACAACGAAAGCAAGCATATCATTGTTTTCAAAAGTTATTACTGGAGGAAAAAAGTTCTGCAATGCATAGACTGTACCTTGGCGAGTGATTTATAAGATGCTCCTTTGGATAATATGGAAACCTTCCTGCAAAGGCAACAAAATACAAAAATAAGCCACATAGGCGAGCTTCTGACAAAAACAGAGAAATGGAAGTATTTACCCGAGAGAAAAATTTCATTACTTGTGATTCCCGGCCACGTATCTTCAGTTGGAGTTCCAAGAGTAAAAAAAAAAAAAAAAAAAAAATGCGGACATCAAACTTGTGTAGTCAATCTACGATGGCTTCTGTTTCTAAGTAACCAATCAAAATATGGTCGGAACACACGCGAGTTGTCACGTTAGCGTGACTGGTGACTTAGTGTGACGCGTGACTCGCAAATCACTTCCGTTTGAATGGAGCTTTCCTCACCTTGAAAATTAAATGAAGTTGATCTTCCACAGTCGAGCCAGGAAAGAACGGTCTGCCTGTCGCCATCTCAAAGAATATGCATCCTACACCCCTACACAGAGAGAAATGATGTAATTTCGTGCAGGAAGAAGCTTTGTGATTTAAGGTTAAGATCAAAATTAAAACATTGCTTAAAATCAGCTACATATAATAAATTGCTCTTATCAAGAAGTCACAGTTTGGGAGTTTATTTTTCCAAGGATTCTTACCACATGTCGATTTGAGTGGAATACTCCGTTGATCCCAGTAACACATCTGGTGGTCTATACCTGCAAATCAAAATCATACAATTTGAAAGAATGCAATGAAAAGCACCATGTATGAGCCACTATTAATAATAGCATCAGAACTGTTTACCCAAAAATTAACGCACAGTGACAGACGCCTTAGCTAGTTGTTTACAACTACATGGTAAAAGGATCTATAAGTCACTCAGACATGCACACTTCTAGATCCATGTCGTAATTTGTGTGCAGTTCAAGATGTGCCAAGCTCTNTAGGAAAGAGCTTTCACTTACTCTGACATTGGTCATACTCATTATGCCTCCACAATCATCCATGTATTGTTTGAGATCTTTTTCCTGATAACAGAACAAAGCAAAAAAATGTATACCACACAATCAAAAGAACGTTTAATTTCTAATCGTCATCATCATCATCATCATCATCATCTCTCATCGCACCAGTACACATATAACGTTGTAATGTTCTCAAACCAACAATCTGTTCCACATTGCCACTTGGTTACATTCCAACTCTCCCACCCTGCCCTGTTTCTTTCTTTCTCAACAGTCCTTCTCCAAGTGATATTTGGTTTCCCCCTTGCCCATCACATGTCAGGTCTCCACACCAATGCTGTGAAACAGTCAATTAACACCCTAGAGCTTTCCTGAGCATGTGCCCTAACAAGTTCCAACTTCTGCATTGTACCTGCAGCTTACATCATTAAGGGACTTAAGATTTTAGTATGAGTACCAGATTGAGTACGACTTTCCAATTATAGTTTGCAGGCTCCACATTATCATGTGAGACCATAAGCTACAGTGTACACTCTCTAGATACCGAAAACCAAGAGCAAGGGCTCTACTAGTTTGAAATTCGAAAATCTTTTTCGTACTCAAATACATACTCATGGTCCAATATATAGGTCCCTGATTATCTGTGCCATTTCAACCACATTTTTACAAAGGCAATTGCAGGATGACATCTTTTTAGCACAATGTAACATGAACACAAGCATGCATCCTGCATGCAAATTACTAAATGTTCACTTGCTAATTTACAGTCTACCAGCTAGCACTTACCAGATATTCAAAAACTAGCGTCAGAGACTTGGGTGTGTGAACAATATCATGGAGAGTGACAATATTTGCATGCTTCAAATCTTTCAAAAGAGAAACTGAAAGAAGGAAATGTTGGTTAACCCAGGAAATTTGGATTTAATGCTGCCAACGCAGTTCGTGTAATGAGGTTATAACTTTTAAGTCTGTGGATGAAATCCTCATGTGTGACCTTCAAATGAAAGCTACTGAGCAGTTCTATCATGTGGCACTGTACTGTTTATTATATGTGTACTGTACAAGGCGATTCTAACTTTTAAGTCTGTGGTTGAAACTCTTGCGTGAGACCATTCAAATGGAACCTATTGAGCAGTGCTTGAAATCATGTCGTACTGTTTATTGTACTGTACAAAGTAGTTCTGACTCAACTTTTAAGTCTGTGCATGAAACCCCAGTGTGTGACCACTCAAATGAAAGCTATTGAGCAGTACTTTCATGTGGTACTGTTTATTATGCTGTACAAGGTGGCTTTAACTTTTAAGTCTGTGGACGAAACCCTAGTGTGTGACTATTCAAATGAAAGCTATCAAGCAGTACTTTCAGGTGTTACTGTGTATTATGCAGTACAAGGTGGTTCTAACTCATTGAAGTCTGTGCATGAAACCCTAGCGTTTGACCATTCAAATGAAGGCTATTGAGCAGTACTTTCATGCAGTAACTGTTACTGTGGATGAAACGCTTGTGTATAACCATTTTAAATAAAAGCTAAATGTACTGAGCCATACATTCATGTGGTAAAAAAGTAGGTATTACTAAGTAAACATTGTTGTAATTGCATGCAAAGGTCATATCAAAATTGACATCTCTCNATGTACTGAGCCATACATTCATGTGGTAAAAAAGTAGGTATTACTAAGTAAACATTGTTGTAATTGCATGGAAAGGTCATATCAAAATTGACATCTCTCACCTTCTCTTATAGCTGTACAAGGAGCACCTTCCTCGTGTTCCAGCCTTATTTCTTTTAATGCGACTAAATTGTCTGTAAGCCTGGAAAGGAAAATGGCCATTTTTTGTTAACTCTAAAACTCTGTACATGTATTAACCAGCATGAATAAAAATCAGAGCATCATGGGAAAGGAAAATCCCCTCCCCTCATCTATAATATACATGTAAAGCACTCTTCAAAACATAAGAGTGCAACATATTGCGAGCCAACATGCAAGGGCTAGTTAGCCTAAACATTGCAGTCTGGATAGCACCTGGTTAGCCTCAATAGCTCCCCAACCCCACAGCTATTTTGCTGACTAGTGGTTAGCCTTAGAGACAGTAGGGATCACTGGCTTGCATGGCTTGTGTGGCTTGCTTGCCATTTCACCTATTTAACACTCCTATTAGCCCAACTAGCACTCTGGCCCTTGGGCTACATGTAAGTTAACTTAATTAGCTTGTGGATTAGCCCTTTTATCGGGGTTACAATCCCGGTTTGCAAGGCTCGCACACTTGACTCGCTGGCTCGCTGGCTCATAAATTGTCTACACTCATATCAGTGAACAGTTACTTTAATTTATTTTAGAAAAACATTTTGTCTTAAACTTACTTGCTTTTCCCTTTGAAAACAGTTGCATATGTACCCTGGGAAACAAGGTAAAACAACTCATTGATATTCCACAATACTTTACTTACATGTACAGTACTATTATAAGCACATGTATGCTCATTAGTTAAAGTAAAGTAATTCAACGTGAATTAATATTTACAATGATTCATAAGGTCTTAGTCAGTGGATAACAGAACATTTGAAAATCCATTCACTAAAATTGCAAAACTAGTTATTAACTGTTATTACTTACCTCTCCCAATTTGTCCAACTTGACGTATGTTTCCATTTTTCCATAACCAAGTTCAGACTGTTGAAACATATAATGCATTCTATTTAGCCACATGTTGGTAGCAAATAAGCCTAACCATTCCATGAATTACAGAATTACATCGCCAATCTTAAGATGTAGATGAGAGTTATTCAATAAATGCCTTTTCTTTGAGATACAGCTGTACAACATTGGTCTTGAAAGAGTAAATAACAGGACGATAATGCATGGAATCAACTGAATAAGGATCATGTCAAACCAGAAATGTACTAAATACATGTACATGTAAAGGTGATGTTGCATTAGCCAATTTTTAAAGCCGATTTTTAGTCCACGTTACTTGAGACGACTTTTATTGCAACTTTGTCGTGGCAAAGATCAGCAACAGTATGTTCCACAGGACGATTTCTATACATGTACACAACTTGCAAATTTGGGCAACAATGTTGAAGGTTTTTGAATCACTCTAAAAACCCTGCAACATGTTGTCACAACAAAAAGTTGTGTTAAAAGTTGGTTGCCCCGTGCGCAATGTTAAATGATCTAGATTTTTAATGCAACAGTGTTGCATTTTTTGTGTGTAACATCACCTTTAAACAAAGTAGAAACAGCTTCAGTCAAACACAAGGTGTTGTTATTGTCACATTGAAGACTTACAAGAGACATTCTCCTACTTCGGCGACTGAGGTGCTGCTCACTGCCATACGGAGGACTCTTTGATGAGCCAAACTCCGTTGAACTTCTTGTTCTGTGGGCTGGACTCTTTCTCATGGAGATGTCATTCAGTGATGTCCCATAGTGAAGAACGGGTAATGAAAGGCGTTTGCTGGAGTTTGTTGGTGCGGAGACAGTCTAAAATGGAAAAAAAAAAAAAAGTAAAACAAGACAAATTCTTTCAATGCTTAAATCTAGCCTTGATCTGTACAGGTCTACAAATTAAGTCATCAATAAACACGCCGAAGAAATTCTGGTATAAAATGTTTGCAGCAGGTGTATAATAAGTTGCATAAAAATAGACTGAGACAGTTACCAAATTAATTAAACATAACTTTATATCAGTTGCTCAGTTACAGATGTTAAGAGTGTTTTTGTGAATTACCGTTAACTTCTTAAAATTTATCTTATCATCCATCTACTGGCATGCAAATCCCATATGAAGGAAAAGGCAGTAACTGGAAATTCACTATCTTTTTTTAATGAGCAAGCCACATATCAAAACACAAACTAAGTTAATACATGTACAGCCTCCAAAGAAATTGCTGAATTACTCTTATTTTGAATATTTTCTTCACCGTAAACCTGATTTAAGTTTTTAGTTGGTGTACCAAAATACATAAAATTATTATAAATAAAAGTTTATTACTAACAAAATCAATTAGAACAGAACAAGAAATTCTGTAAATTTAAGGTACCTTCAAGTTCTTAGTATCTTGAAATTTAGAACACTAATTATGGATATACTTGGTTGGCTTTCCAGACAATCTACACTACTGTCATGATTAAAATTTTGCACTCTTTCGAATTTCCTGTGATAAATCATGACTATTTTATTATGATAATCATTGTTTTCCAATCCACCTGCAGATTCCACCTGTCTCCTACCTGGGGCAGATCAGTCTCATTTTGGAAGTAAACATTTATACAATGCGCATTGAACAAAATAATACATTTACTATCTTTTCATAACATAATATGTTGTTCCAGAAAATATCCATCCCGCAACCTTGATGGACTGTTGTTTGGTTTGAACCCCCCCCCCCCCCCCCCCCCCCCTCCCCCCTACCCCACCCCAAATCCCTTACGCTCCATGCAATTTACATGTATGCTCTTTCCTTTAAAAACACCTGGCTTTTAGCGATCCCCACCCTACCCTCTTGGATTTTCCAATGACCTTCTAGGGGTTAGATAGGGATAGTTTGTAGAATTGCAAAATAAAATTTCATTTCTCAAGGAAAAATTATGCTGTCAGTTGGGACAAATAATTTGAAACCAGGCAGGCAAATGGAGACAATTTTTCATCCAGCAACAAGAAGCTCAGAGACCAGTTAACCAGGCAGCTAATTTACTTCTCTCATAAGAAATAAAGCCTTAGGAGAATATTAAACACAATTCATATCAATTACTGGGGTTTACAGGATCCACAGGGTTCTATCTTTAGCAAAGATTGAGTTCATTTCCCAACTGGTCAGTGATTTTTACAAGTTACATGTAAATGTATGAACACAAGGAGAGAAATTATTTAGTACACTAAAAAAAGAAAAAACATAATTCTATATTATCCTAAAATGGCAGATATCTACATGACTTTGTTTGTAGCATAATGTAATTAATATTTATAATTTTAGAGGAGAAAATGAGTACTTACTGATTTTGACCTTGGTTTTCTCATAGGAACTTGGAGAAATTCGTCTGCCGTTTCTACTCCTGCTTCAAACTCATCTTTAATTGGCCCATTCTGGTGATCAAACCCTAAACAAATGAAAATTATCTTTAGTCATTATTGCTTACATCTCACTGATAGAACACAAGGCGTGGAAGAACATTGCCAAATATCTAAAGTTCTGTTACACGTAAAGACTGTAACAGTAACAGTAACAGTACAATATAACTTTATTAATTACAAAATTTCCTTTACAAGCCTTAGTAGTTCGCAGCTAGAAAGCTATTCTGGGCAAGCTGCTATTACTTCAGGACTGAACAAAGCATTTCAGCTAGATGAAGCCATTTTTCTAGATGGTGCAGTCCAGAGTTAGTGAGAGTACCAGTAATAGCAATCAGACTACAGTGTAAGTGAAGTAAAATCCAGGGACTAATTGCGTGTCAAGTTATTTCAAAATTGGACATGTGTCTAATGTGGGGCTGCTATTTGTGACAGGCTATCACTAGTCTGGTATCTGTATCTGTAGGTACTGTAGATTGATACGAACTAAATGAATATCCTTTCATGCAGGTACATTTACAGGGTTCTAATTTATAAAATGATAGTCAGAGCAGTTCTCAGTCGAGTGTAGTAAAAACCAAAACCAACGAAAACTGTATTCACTTTGGCCAATCACAAAGGTCACAGAGAATCCAGTAAACCAACCACTGGTCTCCAATATGTGTAGCATGATAATGAAGTGTGGGATAACTTGTGCAAGTGAGTCACGATTAGTTTTGGTTTAACTTCTCATTGGAAGAGAGTGGCATGATTTTTTCTAACCAATCACTATGTGTAAAATTATGTGAAACACTCAGCTGAAAGCAGCTCTAATGAAGATGCACAAAACAATCAGTCATGAGACAATCATTTTTGACCAGAGAGAGAGAGTGAAAAGACAGGGGATAAATTCTGTATTCACCTAACACTGTGACTAGTCTGTGGTATATAATGCACATAATTATATCCAGTTATGCTGACCAAGATTTTATTATATTGTTATTGCCCCCGCAGGTTTTTGGCCCAGACGCCAAAACCCGAGGGGACACCCTAGGATTCCCCACGTGTATACATACAAGGAATTTCAAAAAAGTAAGAAATGTGTTGGTAGTATACGAAGTGTTCTCAATTTGATGAAACTAGGCACACACGGTCGTCATGGGTAATGTTGGGCAAGGAACGCGGGCTCACAAAACGATTGGAAATTGAGCCTAGGTGGTGTCGGTACATGAAATTCTTGATTTCAAGGTTCTTGCAACCACGAGTTTGTGTTTTGCCATCTTCTAGCAGCATTTCAAGGCTCTTGTAACCACGATTTCACGTTTTGCCATCTTCGAGCAGCATTTCAAGGTCAAATATACACTCCAATTACAATATGGCCTGCATGACGATTTTAGCGCGATCAAATAAATACGCTTCGAAATGGCCTTGATTCTCATCTAGGACAAATTGAAAATGATTTCAAAGATTCTGATGATGGATTTTGGGAGAAAAACAACTCAGAAGGTATCGTAAGAAATTCTGAAGTATACTAGAAATTCCAGGCCAGTGTGGTTCATATTGCAACCAAATAGCTGAATACTCTTCCGATCACCAGTTTTACCTTTGGCATCTCGTTTATTTGGATCGCTTATTTGTATTGAGTAATCCTAGTGGCGTAGAACTCATGTGTGGGCTGGGTGACTTTGCAGGGATCCAAATATATATGCGAATGTTTTGCAGCATTTTCGTTGAGGTCAAAAAGCTTGACTCTAATTTGCATATATGGTGACTGTAATGCGATACTTCTGTTTATGCCTCGGAAAACAAACTCAATGTCCATTCTGCTTTTGAGATACATTTCCTCGTATCTCAAGACAAATGGTTTGTTTCAGCATCAAATTGGAACAGCGGAGTAGTTTGACTTAATTTTTTGTTTCGCTATAATTTTTAACCTTTTTTCCCCTATAAAGTCCTATTGAGTGAAATTTTTGTAAAAGAAATATTAGTTTCCATGAAGGCAACCTATTTTTCCCAGAGTACTTTTGAGTACTTCTAAAAGTACTTTTTGCATCCTTTCTAACGAGATATGGTAAAATGCTCTGCTATAAATACTCTCACGAGAGTATCATGTAAAGAATATCATGTGATAGAATGAGTTAAACAGAATGTGTTGGTTTACCGTTTAGTTAACTTAGTTGATTGTTTGGATCATATTCATGGTAAGACGCCTAAGTTACTCGAACAGTATGAGTGGTATAGTTTAAATTTCTAATTCATACACAAATGTTCAATATTATTGTTTTCGATCAAAAGAAATAAAAGAAAGTGGTGGCAGATTTAGTGATAACTATTACTAGTCAATATTTGAAGAGTTTTTACATAGGGTTGACCTCTTAAGTCTTGTTTTTTTCAAGATTTGTTTTCTTTTGTAAAGTACTTTTTTCCTTTGGCATCATCAGATAAACCTCTTAAGTAAAGAAGCAAATTAATAGATCTTGCTTATTGGTTACAATGTACTGTACATCTGATATAAATGACAGAAGCACACAATGCTTCATTTACATTTAAACGTTAGTGCAATATTAGTGATGTTACCTAATGTACTAGCACGATTAGTCTTTCAAACATCTTTACGTTATATTTTAAAGTACTGCAATTGTTACTGACAATAATTTTGATCTTCTTTACATCAAGGCAATAATGTTATCATTGATTTCCACTCTTACAACTGTATTAGTGGCTTCACATGAGAACCATCCCTTGAAGACAATAGTGTCACGAGAGGTGATTCTCGTCTAGAGAGACCAGACAATTGTTTCACGATTCATTATTGCAAAGTCAATGCCATTTTACATTCACATTCTGCTAAATACGTACAGTTGCATGCAGATGTGTCAAAGCAAGTTAATGCTAAAAGTATATATACAATTTGTTTGTTAATTCTACAGTGAGGAAAAAAAAGTTGCTAAAAAGTTCTAAGGAAAGCAAACAACAGTCCATGCCAGAAACACTGACACTTAAAGAAAATTATTGACAAATTCTTTAAAGAGATAAAAGGTTAAATTTTACGTAAAAGAAAGAACAAAGTATATCGTCTATTTAAATGTATGTATTTATTTTTTGGGAATGCACTGTCAATATTAATACTTGTAAATGTCAAGTATCTCATTTGAAAAAGAAAACAGATTTGAAGAAAAACACCAAATTTGAAAATCTTTTATCTTATCTTCCAAAGTCACTGGAGAAATAAAATTTAAGTCAAACTTATTTTTCTTATTTCACAAATATGCATTATTAATATCTTCGACGTCAAAGTTAATGATGAAGTTTTTTGCAAAAGAAACAGTATATTTTATGGGCCTGCAATTTATTCCATGTCATTGTTAATTGCTCCTAAAAGCAAATGGAAGTACATGTAATACTAGTATTGACAACCGAAATCTTCTAAATTTATCCAACGAAAATATTTGGGGGACAAAGAAGTCGACTGCAAATTATTCGCTTTACAACAAGTACATTGACCAGTGTTTTTTTAAACGTATTCTGTGTTCAAGCGAACGACACCTTTAACCTTTGTGTACAAGGAACAGAATCCAACATCATCTCCGATCCAATGTGATCTGTTTATTATTTTTGCGACTAGCTAAATGTACCGCAAATATTGACAGAAAATTATGCTAATACCACAAAAAAAATCGGAATTCTTCCTCAGAGAGGAATACATCATAGACGTCCTTTGTCAGAAGGTGTTTGTAGCTCCTGTTACGAGAGCAAGAAAGTGTTTTATACGAAAGGCAGAATAAAATCTACAATAAATGCACACATATTGTGAAAAACAATCGCGTAAAGGAAAATCAAATCACTTTTATGTTTACTCAACCGTCTATCCTATAAACATGAAGTAATTTCAATTCTCTTGCGTGTTATTAAACAACAACGCTTCAATCAGACATAAGAAATTATATAGTTTGAAGTTTCCTACACTTGTTGAACACAGTATCATACGTACACGCCAATATCAAACTTGTTGATCAAGTCTACAAATGCACTTTATCTGTGTGTCGTTTAAACCCGCACAAGTCTTACATAACACGGGTTTTAGGTGAAGCTTAAGTTATATTGATCGAAATCGAGCGTCAAACAGATCTCTTACAACCGACGCTTTTCGACCTTCAATGTCACTTGCTACAAATATTTGCAAATAAAAAATTATCTACGGCTAATAAAGCTACAATTTTAATGAATAGAAGTGAATGTTATTTGAACCACTAGCCAGTATGATACACTTCTAAAAACATCGATTAATCTGTAGCTTACACATGATTTGCAAGTAAGCGATAATATAATATGACAAACCAACTCACCATTGTCTTTGCCGTTCACATCGAGGGACATTTGCTCGGCGAGCTCCGAAAGCGTGTCATCAACTCCCTTGCCTTTCAATGAGAGAGCTCGTTTAATTTTCTTCATCCCCGATTTTTTAGATCCTGGGTAACAGCACAAAGCTTCAAGCCATAGAGCAGCCCCAACTTCACTTCACTCGACAACTTGGTCGCCTACAAATTACGAAGCAAAATTTGAACTTGAACCTCAACCTAAACTAATGATTCGAATGTCCACAGCGACTCGGAAATTCCTACTTCTCTGATAGTTAATCCGTTGAATCTCAGCAATCTTGGACACAAAAGCAATTTTCAACGGTACTGCAGCTTTCTAGAGGGAACTTGTCCACAATTTAATCGCACGGTTAATAATTTTATGGCACTAAAGAAGAAATGTAACAGAATCTTGGAAGTCGCTTCTGCAGCGTTTTTCTTGTGATGGATAAGTCGCCATGGCGAGTTAGGAAAGTGACGTTAATTGCCCTTTCTCCACACACATCTGGGTGTGTGCAAATGTTATTTCCTGTCCACGGACTTGGAGAAAACAGATTAGCTATCGAGGAAAAATTTTGACAATAACGTTGGGGCGAAATTCTAGAAGCACCGCCCCGGACTCGCCAATCAAACAAAAATCGAAAGGTCGATCGTAAGCATTAAAGTAAGGCACACTAAAGCTATTAGCCAAGATAAAGAATCGTACCTTTGGACGATGCAGAAAAGAGCTGATTCCTTTGTTTATCGCTCATGTTTGGGAAACGCTTCGCCGATCGACCCGCTCAGTTATCGCCATTTTGAATTACCCACAATGCAACCCGAGTGAGGCGATTAAGCACCTTTTAGTAACATGCGATCATGTTCGTTTTGATTGGCCAGATGTTTCACGTAAAAACGTAGAAGGTTTACGCTATATAAGCGCCGTCATATAACTAGGTGCTAAAACACTTCAATGACTGAGGTTTTCAGCGTTCGGCTGAAAAAAACAAAAAGAAAAGAAAAGAAAAGAAAAGAAAA